AGAGAGAGAGAGAGAGAGAGAGAGAGAGAGGAGACACACACAGAGGCAGACAGACACACACACATACACACACACACACACACACACACACACACAGAGTGATTCTCCATTGTCTTTGTTCTGCACAGTCTGGTCAAGCTGTTTGTGTACTAGAATCACCCATGGAGTGTCATTAAATAAATTTCAGATTTTGACCTGCATCCTTGAAACAAATTGCAGCAAACTTTTAGGAATCACTGGCTAGATGTATGCTTCAGTGATCACTCGTTTCAGATTCTGCGAACAGAAAGTGTTTCATCTAAACCTCATGTGTGAGAAATGACTCATTTTCTTTGAGAAATTAGCAGTGGAAATAGATGTAAAACTAAGTATGGCTGGGCATATTGGTGTAAACATATATCACCAGCACTTGGTAGGCTGTCGGTATTTACAGCAAGACTGTGTCAAGAAACCAAAAACAAATACCTAAATATGAAGTAATTTCCTACCGTAGACAGGCATGCAACCCACGACCTGCTTTCCACGTGCAGTGCTCTTCAAGGGGATGTGGAGGGTGGCACCATGCCTTGGCTCAGACCTGAAACCAGCTTTGCTCCTTCTAGGTTTGACATTTTCACTTGTGGTTTCTCCCCCTATATGATGGAAGAGGCAGTAATATCCACCTCAGATACACAAGTCATTCAGTAAGTGCTAGCTAAAGGCAAATTAAGAGAAGCTACACATCCTTTGCAAGAGTATTTGGGATTATGTTAATGTCATTCCTGCCTAAGCTGACATATATTAGAAACCCAATGAATATGACCTAATCAACCTTTAACACTGTGCAGCTTACCACAGTTTAATTTTGTCAAAGGCATAAAGTTCTGTCTTTCATCTTTTTCAGTATCATTTCAAGGCAATACTTTTTAATGTTCCCGGGTCATGCTTGTTTGTGAACATAATGAATTTGCCTTAATAACCAGCATGCAAGTAAAGTTTCAACGCCGTCATGGGCAATAACACTCCTCCTAAGCCAGGCTTCATTCACCACAGAAAATCTTTTCTCTCTCTGTCTCGTCCTTTGTCATGAAGCTCAGAGAAGTAGTTCATAGATCTAGAACCTCACAGAGTCACTTGGAGAAATGATTTCTTACTTTGTTCTGCATGGGCTTGAAAACTTTCAAGAGACTGAAGGAGAGCAGAGGGTCCAGGCTTGGTGACATTCTGCCTGTTCACTTTGACAGCTTTCCAGGGTAACCATCATAAAAATTTTCCTTTCTTTATTCAGAACCATAATGGCCACAGATGCCTCCGGACCATCAAGTCCATATCATATGACTGACATATCTCTTCTTTCTATATCTCTCTATTTCTACCACTAGCCATCTCTTTAATTCTTGTCTATCCCTATTGATGCCACCTTTAAAAGGGAAACAATTGTGTGTGGAGAGAGCTGTACACATCTGAGGCTGACGCTATGTGCCCTGTGTGAAAGCTGTTGGCTTCTCTTGGGACATGGTAATCCAGGTTCCCCAGCAACCCAACTCTAGGGATACTTGTTGTGTTGGTGAAAATTAACATCAGTTTACACTGTCACAATAGCACACTACAAGGAAGCCAGTGACTTCTCTTCCTGATTCCTGTAAGTGCTGTCTTGAGCTTTGAAGTTGGTAGTGACCCTGCTTTTATTTTTATTTTTTCTTTAAATTATGGTAAGACATATGAGAAACCACTATAGTAGTTTTATTTGCAAACTCTTTATACTTGAGATTGGAAGAATGGTGACTTAAAGTTTAAGTATAGGCATACCATAAATAATAGTGTAAGGCTAGCCAACTAAAAGGCAGTGGGAATGATACCTCATTCTCACAGAATGCTCCACTAAGCTTCTGATCCTGATGCCCAAGCTACTTCTGCATAAAGCCCATCTTTTCCTTTCTGGTCTCCTTTTCTACCTCAGGGTGATGTCCATCTTCGATACCTAAATATCCCTTCTCCACCATGAAACTCGGTGTTCACCAAGGTCAAAGTCACATCCATGTCCTGGTTAACTATGATAATAGGGCTTATAGTGTGTCTTTCCCCAGAGGGCAGATGTCAAGTGTCTGCTCTGCCACTCATGAAACTAAACGTTAGGCCAGCTCAGCGGACTTGAGTCCAGCCTGCCTGGTGTAATAACCAGGAGCATTTCAACTGATGTCAACAGCAGGGGTAGGGCAGGAGGAGAAGGCTAGGCTAGAAAATACATTCATTGGAATGTTGATTGCAAACGCTCAATTGATGTTGGCTATTCAAGGGGACACTTACTTAAATTTAAAAGACACCACTTTAATCTAGAAATAATAACTTTAAGTTTTGAAATTTCATTTTATTTGGGGTACACTGAGCATTCCACCTTAGTCACATTTTATAGATAACTGCCAATTTCCTTCTAGATGGAGAGTCCGACAGTTGTCTGGTTTTAACCATAGTCTTCAGGGAACATGTGTGAGTCTGGCTAGGACAGAGGCAGGAATTAGGAAAGTCAAGGAAATTTCATGTTTATGAACTTTTCTCAGTCCTGTGATGTTTATTTCACGTGAGGTCACGATTATTTCACAGTTACTAAGGCAGTAAAATTTAAAATCATGAATAAGAAACTGCAACTATCCTTGACTTTCTTCTGGAATATTCCACCGATCTGTTCAAAGGGTCTATATCTTCAATCTACCTTTCCCAATGTCTTGTTGAGCATTTGTTAGCACTTCCTAACCTCCTTAGACATACAAACTGCAGGGAGGGCGCTCACTTGATCTTCCTGTCAAACTTTCAAGTTCGCGTTTGGTACCCTTTTATTCTTAGGTAAACAACGATGCTTAGATAAAAGATCAGAAGAGCCTCTTTCTGAGATCCAAAGAACTCCTCTGTTTGTGGTAAGCTGGCACGGAGACCTGGTGGTCCGGGCTGCAAGGTGAAGAAGGAGGTGGCCCAGATAGGTGTCAAGCCAGGCTCCTTCGCATCCCCTTAGGGGGATGCCACCCTGGAGCTAGCGTTGCTAGGTCCTCTGTTAGCAGCGTTCTGAAAGCTCCCTGAGCGGGACCAAGGATAAGGTGGGGTGAGGGGTGCCCCGAAAAGCCCAGCTCATCCTTCTGCACACCTGCAGGAGAAGCTGCTGGTCTGGGCGGTCCCCAGCTCTCCGGAAACTCAGCGGGCGGAGGTCGCTCCTCCTCTTGGGTCCCTCACGCCCATCGCTGGCCCTGGCGGGGTCCTGGTGCTTGAGCCTTCCTGCACGACGCGCACCCCTGGGCGCAGCGGGCGAATGGTCTGGCCCGTTGGTAGCCGACACCCCTTGGGCACGACAGCTGCTCCAGCTGCTCCTGGTCGGGTTGAGCTTCTGAGCTCTGAGCCGTGGCTGCCCCGGGCGGTGGGCGAGCTGAGGGGATCTCAGGGCCACCCGCAAGGGACCGACGGGGAGCTGCCAGCCGTGGGTAGGGAGTGTGGGCCACCAAGGGACCAGTCACTGGAGCCACCCGGCGAGGTGCCGAAGCTGTGAGTACCTGCCCCTGCCCCCGCCCCTCCACACCCCAGGTGGGGCGCTGATTCTTTCCAGTCCCTGTCCCCGAGACGTGCCCCGGTGGAAGCTGAGAGGAGGGCGGCTGCTGCTGCCAGGCTCGTGATTCAGCACCATTGGCGCTCAGAGGTTCGGGCCGAAGGAGGAGGGGACTGGCCTGGGTCATTTGTGGGGTCCTATCTTAGTTTCCAGACCTGCTCTGGCAAGGTGAAGGGGGCAGTGCTCCTAGTCCGCGCAGGGTTGATTTGTCACGATATTCTGTCCCCACACCCCAGTGTCAACCTCCTTGAGCTGAGCATGTTGTACATTCTTGAAAGTGTGTCAGTGAGATGTCTTTTTCCACACATCTTTTCTCTGTTTCTCATTCCACCATACATCCACTTTATTTGATATCAAAACATTCCCCCAAACTCTGAAAAATTTCTATAGAATTTGTCTTGTATTCAGCACGGGTTCGACTGATTAATATAAAAAGAAAAGATGTTTAGGAATTATGAATAGTACCTTCATATTTTAGGCACTTGGTGTGTGTGTGTGTGTGTGTGTGTCTGTCTGTCTGTCTGTCTGTGTGTGCTAGTGAGTTAAATCATCACATCAAAGCAGAGCCAATTGTGGAAAGTGAGAAACAGAAATCTTAAATTACAATCTCAAGGTCACAGAACAGGAATTTGAATACAGGTTTCCCTCACTCTAAATCCATGGACCATTTACTGTATCAGTATTGGGTTCATGTACGCACTATTAGATGTGAGGTATAATATTAATTTTCATAGGTATTGTCTCAAACACTAGCAACAGCAATCTATAAACTTTCTGCACATTGCCCTGCACACATTTGTGTGATCATGTGAGAAAACATCTATTTCCTTAGCATCTATAGAGTAAAAAGGTGTATTTAAACAACAGTTCATGGGAGAGCTGGGTCCTAACCAGAGATACCCAACATGGTTTTTGGTGGTGATAGATGCTGGATGCTCAAGTCTTAGGCAAATCAATTAGCATCACAATAAGAAATCTGGAAATCATTATTTAATCTTTGGGCAATATCCAAAAGAAGAACAGTTATCTAGTTTAGGGAGTATGAGACTGCATCATGCACAGTAGGGTGACAGATAAACCCAGACTCAGGTAACTATTTGACTTGTCATAACTTTGTAACTAGGCATAGCGAGTGATATTTTATTGGTTTAAAAGCTAGAATATAGAGAAGGTCCAAGATCATCCGGTAAATGGTAGAATATGAGCAAGCATTTACTCTTGAGTGCTGCTTCACTTATTAAAAAAACATGGATATGTTGTAGTAAGATGGAGATGTGAACAGTGGGAAATGGATTTTTTAATTGATGCCCTGCCCTTCAGAGTCAACAATCATATTGACCTTGTATGCTCCTTCTGCAAAAGTAATGGACACTAGGTTTTTCTTTCTCCCCTGGTGGGTCATTTGACTTGCTTTCATTTATGATTTATGGATTTTCTCTTAAGATATGCAACTCTTGTTGATGTCTCGGTGTCAGGTTGCTAATGTACAGATGTTGTTTACTTCTAAATTCGGGCAGAGTATTTGATGGCATACAAGAGCATAGCCATTTAGCCCATCACTTCTAAAGCACTAGGCCATTTGTTTTGGAGAGTTCTTTTTTTGGTTAATGGGGATATTGATAGATTAAAGCCCACTGCCTAAGTGAGGACACAGCATGGAGACACAGATTTATATTTATTATTCAGATAAAACCGCAGGAGAAGCAAGGTCCTGTGTGTGGTCTTAAGTTGACTTCTAGAAGGTCATTTCTTTTGTTACTTATATTCTAAATCTCGCTGAGGCATATTGCAATTCAATCTGTTTGATCCCAAGAAGAACTTCAGAATTGATATGAATGAATAAGCAGAAATAGACTATTAGAGCTCTAAAAGCAGACAATGGAAAGTGCGTGTCCCGGTAGTGATGTCACAGGCAGTATTTTAAAACTTCAGGTTTCATTTAGATAATATCACTGAGGGCATGGATATAATGGCAGCCTGGCTGTAGAACTCTACTTTCTCTCTGCCTCTGTGTGTATTTGACCAATAACTACTGAAAAGCATCTAAATTTCCAACTTCAAGGAACTCCAAGTCTAGCTGAGAGGTATTTACTCACCCAGAAATAACGAACAGAATGACAAAGAATGGGCACAATACCAGCAGGTGATGTAACTTTAGGTGCTATAGCAATACCTGAAGAGAATAGGGAACCATTGGAAGCTGGGTAGTTAAAGGATCAGGGATATCTTCATTCAGAGAAGTGAATTAAGTGACACTGTGAGACTGGGACTGATTTCCATAGCAGGGAAATGGGGTCAGCTGAGATGCACTGGGCTCTGGGCTAGGCAGGACTTTGAATGCCAGATGTGGATCTGTTTCTGATGTGGTAACCACAGAGAACTAGGAGAGACACTTTTAATCAGAGCAAGTTTTTTTTTTCTCATTTTCATCATTTCCTTTGCCTCAGTATCCTTGCAGAAAAATGGAATCCTTTTTGACATGAAAAGAAGTAATTGTCAACTAAATGCAGAAAAAAATTCTATGAAAATAAAGTATTTCCCTTCTAAAAATATTTACCCTCTAAAATTTTATCCATTGTACAATTATGAGAAAATTGGAAAGTATAAAAATATAAATAAATGACATTTTTTACTCTTACCAAGTAAAGACAGCCATTAATGGTGTTAGTCATGTGTGATTATAATCATACTGTATTTTTATCACTATATTTCTTTTTTCTTTTAATCCTCTAATTCTAGTTTTTACCAAATTATAAATGAGTACTAAACATTTTAAATGCCTGCATAACTTTCCATGAGAAAGACATACTAGAATTTCCTAACCATTCCTCATTGTGAGTATATTATTGATAATAATCATGACACCATGATGAACATCTTGATGCATATACTTTTTTATTTTGAAGGTTAATTCTGTAAGCTAGCATCTCTGGGGAAAGAGTATGAACTCTTCATATTAGGCTATTCAACAAATTTTGAATCTCTACTAAATTTTATATGTTCAGTTTAGGACTTTACATGTTGGGTATAGAATATTTGTATATTATTAGAAACTCACAGTCATGTCTGTGGCTCCTCAGATCACACTGTTTTAAATAATTCCACTTTTCATTAGAACAATGAACTAGATCCTAAGAACTCAGAGGAAGATGAGCATTGAGAACTGGAGAAGGAAGGAGATGGGATTCAAGTCAGAGAACAGGTTTGGTGAGAGTGAGGGGAAGTGTCTGGTCAGAGAAGAAGCACTAAGATAGAGGACATTCTGCCCCCAGGGCTGCATCTGTGGACCCAACCTTTGCCTCCACAGCCTTTCCTCCAGCAGAAGCCATATCCCAAGTTAATCTACTTCAAACTTCAGATCCTGTGCTCCTGTGTCAGATCCCCAGGTCTTTAGCTTTGCTACCCTTAGTAATGCCGGGCACAGGTTGGCGCTCTCTCAGATTATCACTTAGAGAATTTGTGACCCCTGCCACACCCCAGTTCTTAGCAGAAGCCCCCAGTAGAATGTACAGGGCGCATGGGAGGCCCATTTGATGGGTTTTGGAGACTGCTGTTTACCCCCTGGTGTGCATTTGCCAGAGATGAGCTTTGAGAAGAGTGGTGGCCAGAAGATGCATAACATAGTGTCACCTCCCACCTCATCTCCTCACCAGAGAAAAAATTCCCTTGTGGAGGAGATTGTACCTCAGTTTCCCTTATAAGACACATAACGTCCCCTCTCTATTAAGAGTAAGGCAGGAACCCCACATTGAATGTCTTACCTGGACTCTTGATTTATTCCCCAAGGTTATGAGTGGGGTTTCTCCTGGGAACCACTTCCAACCTTCTAGCATGGGTCATGAGACTGGGACTCTGCTTAAGTGGTTGGCTTTCAAGTGTCTCTGGGTACTAGTGTAAGGGGAGTCAAGGGATATGGCTGTACTTGAGGACACAATTAGGAGCTCAAGCTCTTTCTAATGAGTCAGTCTTGAAGCAATGAAAACTGAAGCATTGCATTGTAAACCACAAAGAAATTTGACCCTCCTTTCAGGTCCCCACAGATGACTGCAGATGGAAGCTGGGCTTTCAAGGACCTGTTTTAAGCTGAACTTGTCTTATGCTTAGTTGAAACTATTATCCTATTATAATTTCCTTAAATTCTTAGACGTTTGTAAATCCATTTCCGTTTATCTCAGGCATTATTTGTCAAGAGTAAAGTGGGCTTAGCACACACTCTCCCTGGAGTTAAAAGTAGAAAGTTTTAAAAGTTTAACTCTTTGTTCCCCTTTAGCTTTTATTTCTCATTTGACATTTAACCACGTGACTGTCCTTAGGGTATACTATTGGTGACAAAACTCAGGCCATGGGCTCATGTAGGCTCTGAGGAGAGAGGGATAAATTAATTATCTCCCTTTCTCCTCCACCTCTTTTATTTGAAAGCACCTGGTTGGTTGATTTTTCATTAGGTTTTAGAATTCAATGGGCAAGAGCTCACTGGGTCTTCTCTCAGAATGGCCCAAAGATCTCTGGGATTGCTTCCCCCTGCAAAAAAAATCAGTGATATTGTTGATACACCAAACTGTCCGTATTGGCCGCCATTTCTAAATTGCCGTGACACCTGAGAGTCCAAACTTCTGTGTTATTTTTGTCCCTCTGCCTAGCCATGTGAAATGGAACATTATATTTGACAAAGGATTATTTTTGAACATTTCTAGCTCTCTCACCCACTGCTTTGTGAAGTGTGAACTGGTACCACAGCTAATTCGACAAGATGAAAATAGCCTGGCTTCTTTTTAAAATTTATTTTTATCTTAAAAGTTTCTCCCTCCTCCATTAGTCTTTGGGCAGTGAGGCTATCTTTTAAAGTAAGTTGGACATCTGTAGATTTAGAAGGTGAAGAAGGAGCAATCCAGGCAGGATCTTCAGGATCATTCCACAGCTGTAGATCATTCCATGTCTG